AATTCCAAATAGTCACACTTATATTTGACAGCCTCCATGGCATATTGTAGGGCTATAGAAAGAGAATATGATATTCATGACATATGACAAGTTAAACTTGTACCTTTAAAACTGTAAAATTTATAGATGATGATAAAAATCATTCCCTCCYTTCTATAATAGAGTCCTTGGACCTTAATACAGAATGTCTTTCTGTTCCCCTGATATTCACTGATAGTCTGTCCTGAACACCAAATCTACACATCTCTCAGAATCAGTTGCAACAAATCAAATACAACTCATCTAATCTCCTTAAACCTGTGGGCTACTTTTCCATTCCTCCTAATAAGAATTATTTTAATTTAGTATGTTCATGGTATTCATATGCCTTCTAAATTTTTCTGAGTCATTATTTCCCCTGAAACAGTCAGTTGCTTATTCATAAGACTGTGTTTCTTCCTCAGTGTATGACCTTACATTTGCCCGTGCTGAAAATGTTAAGTGTGGAAAGCTTGATTTCTTGTATTGATTTTACAGTAACCAGTCTATTTTAAGTGACACACAGTATCAGGAATTTCTGTTACATTTTAAAGGCTTTTAAATAGTTTTTCCACTCTTAAATGCAAAAGAAAAAAAAAAAGACAGATATTAAAATAACAAAGGCCTAATGGCACTAAATTAAAGTAACTCCATTTTCAATAAATTGAACTGGGAGCCAGGAAGGTGGCTGGCTCTAATGCAGGCTAATTCTTTGAGAAGAAYGTCTTACTTGAGTCCTCTAAATGTAAGTGATACAGTAATATTAAACAAGAGATAACAACCTCCCAAATGCCTCTTAGAAGCAGAGAAAACCCTGGAGACACTTCATAGCATTTCCTTATTTTAAATCACTGTCGACCAGCTGTCCTCTCAGCTTAAACCAAGCCGAATATATGTCTAATAGTTCATAATGAGGTATTAGTGGGTATTTACTTTCCAGCACTCTCCTAATCTCATGTCACACCAATTTGTAACATAAGAGAGGGTCTACAAGAATGAAATGCATGATCACAGACCATTTCATTTTCACCAATTTGCAACCAACATCAGAATTAGACCTTAACATGACTTGTGTCTAATGTTAGCCTGTCCTGACATTATTTTGCTTGAGCTTTTATAGTGGCTTTTATTTGCTTGAGCTTTTATTCAGAAACCTGCTGAATATGTTCCTAAGTTTTGCCTAAGGTATGTCATGCTCTTAGAAGGGATATGATATAAACACATCTTCCCTGCTCCTGCCTGCATTACCTTGCACGTTGCCTATCATCTGCTCCAGGAAAGCCCTTCCCATGGCATTTATGCAACACAAAACTGGATTCATACAGATACTTTGTACCTGGGGCCATTCTGTGACCATTTGCTTGTGCAAGCTGCATAATTGGGTGTCTGCTCCATGAGGCATTTATCTCCTGTTGTACCTGCGATTTCTAATCAACTGTCCATCAACATAGTAAATAAACCTAGATATTTTGTCTGGTTCACCAACAACACTGAGATGGTTTATATTTATTAGGGGGATCAGCAAATCTCTTAGGCAGCTAGAGGACATATGAGATAATTTTAGTTAAGAAGGTTCTACCACCCTGTTTGACATTAGGTTTTCCTGCAGCACCAAAAACCAAATCACACTCAGCCCTGAAGTAACATCATCCCATCTGACACAATAGCCTCTGAAGTCGATTCATTTCTGTATTACATTGAGATCAAAGCTGCATAGAGATTCACAGAAGGACTTCAAGCAAGCTTAAAATTTGATGAGAATACTCTAGCATGCTGTTCATAAATGGAGGAAACTTTTTCTTTCACCTGCAAATTATTTTCAATTTCCTTAATTCAAAAGTAGCCCCCTTATATGTTTCATAATGCTAAGAGTTTAAAGAAATGCCTAAGTGAGTTAGGACCCTGAATCATGTTGGCTTTCAGTGGGATTCAATACCTAAAAGGCCTCTGAATGCCTACATCTGCTTTTGTACCAGGGGAGTTAGGCCCTSATATCACTGCTGCCTTTTGTTGCGCATATGGGTACAAGATGTGCTGCAGTTGCAGAACCTTAATTGCCAGAAATGTTTGAATGATGCAGTCATCACTACATTATCTGAAAATTTTATAACATAGTATCCCCTTAACATAGTATTCCTGCCTATTGAAGTGCAAAGATGGTGAAATGACAGAAATTTATCTGAATCAGTGTAGCAAGAGTGCCCCGCCTGCATTAGATCCACAAAGGGACAGAGCAGAAGGACAGATAAACCTGACTTCAAAACTTAGCTGCAACAATTTCCCTACTTTTCTACAGCCAAGCAGTAAGCCTTTAGTGACTGGCTATAGTGATTAGATGCTCAGCATTTCCTGTCATAGATTATGAGGAATCCACACGACAGAACCTCATGGTCAGACTTTTCTACCACAGCAGCCTGACGACCATCCTGTGGTGCTCCCTTCCTCCCTCCCCCCTTCTCCCTTTATTTTTTTTCTTTTTCCTGAAGAAGTGATCTTTTTTTTTTTTTCTTTCAGAATGAAGGTTGAAGGAGGCTGACAGCCTTATTCTTTGAGTATCTGAGGGCATGTGAAGCAGGGATATWACGGGGAAGGAAAGATAACGCAAAGCAGGTTTTGTGTCCTGTATTTGAAGGCTGAAGGTTAGAGCAGTCTCATCAAATGGCCTTTGGAAACAAGGATTACTCATTACACAGGGATATCTTGCTGCAGCATTTTCATCTTTCAAGCAGGCCTTGTACAGAGGGTGCAAATGTGCCTACTTACACTGCTCAAGTAGTGTAAAGAGTTTAGAGTAAAGGAAAATGAATCTCTGGGTGTTCAGAATCTCCAGAGATATACCATTTGTCACAGGAATACAGTCTGTTAAAATAATCCAGCTGCTGACAGCACAAAAGAATCTCCAAGCTAGCCTCCTGTGCAGCAACCTAAAATGCATCCCAGATAAGTGTATTTCACTGTGATCTCTGTTTCAGCCATAGCAAAGCATTTATGCAGATCAAGATGRCTTGTACTAGGTTTTGATTGTAACATAACTCTTGCATAAGGGTCTACAATCAAACACAGAGCATAAGATGCCATGGAAAACATTTTGAGCTGTGGCTTGTCACACCACAAAGGAGTCAATAATGTAACATTTCCTACTGTTGATTTACCCTGGTCCCAAATCATCACTAACACAGACAAGTGGGATCTCACCATCATAAAACATGAGTGATGACTCTGGCAACCCATCCACTTAAGACGGAATGTGAACATTTTAGCAGACCTGATTTTATATTTGAAGCATGGTGCAAAGTGGTAAAGAATGTATTTTTCTTAAGAAATTCTTATCTGCTTCCTTCCCCTTAAGCATGGGTCATCATATTAAGTACTAGTGTTAGTTAAATACATTGAGAAATCCTGGCAGAACAGAGCTATCCCATCAGTGTAGGTATGACTGCCTAAATTATGAAGGATTCTGAAGTGGCCACCTCCCAAAGGCCAGGCTGCAGCACTGTCAGGAAGAAGGTGCAAGGCAGAAGTGTCCTTTGAGGACTCCAGCTACCACTAGTGGCACTGAATCATTTTCAGTTTTATATCACTAGGTGCATGAGATTGGTTATATACAACAAGCCTAAGTGAGCACAGATAGCATGAGCTATCCCAAGCTCTGTGCACACATCTGCACCAGAATAATAAACAGGGGCTCCAGAGCATCTGCAAACAAAATCTCTAYGAGAGATAACTTTGTCTTGTCAGTCCTGGGAGAGGAGACACTGCCTGTTCATGAGGATAGTGGTAAAATCATTTAGAATTTAGTGTCATAGAATCATAGAAAGATTTGGGTTGGAAGGGATCATCCAGTTCCAAGCCCCACACCATGGTTAGGGACCATTCCATTAGTCCAGATTGCTCCAAGCCCCATACGATCTGGCATGCTTAAATTAAAATCCCATCAGAAACATCACTTGCCCTGCACCCAAAGACTGTGCCATTCTACAAGAGCCTGAAAGAAATGCAAATAATGGTCAAAACCAAAATTAAAATATTATAAAATATTCATAATTATATATATATATATATATATATATATTTATGGCTGAGCTAGGTAGAAAATTGTTGAGGTTTTGTTCCTAAATCACATAAATTCTCTTTTGCTTACTCCCTGAGTTTTGTTGTAAGAGCTGAAATGCTAGATTCACAGTTCTGGAATCCATCCAAGCCATAGGGCAGGAAAAATAGCCGTCACCGTGGGATGTCCCACAGAGACAGGCTGCTTCCTGAAAAGCACTAGAGACAAGATGACCACCTAATGCCTTCAAAAAATTTCAAAGAACAGCTAGAGGGAAGACATTCCCACTTTTGCAAAGGAAAAAAAAAAAAAAAAAAAAAAAAAAAAAAAAAAAAAAAAAAAAAAAAAAAAAAAAAAAAAAAAAAAAAAAAAAAAAAAGGTAAAAGAAACCGTTTTAAGCTCTTTTCCCTTTTTTCATTTTTAGTCTCCACCTGCTGACAGTTGTGGAGCCAAGATGCTGTTTAGAGCCAGCAACAGCAAGTACCAAGTTCAGACAGCATCCATATAGATGCCATTGTGGGTAAAGGGATCTGCACTTTTGGTGAGGCCAACACTAAAACAGGCTGGAAAATCGTCATGGGAAAACTTTCAGAAGTGGTGTCCTGCAATAGCTTTACGGTTCTGGGTTTTCACTCGGTAGTCTTTCCCGTTAGGTGCCCGCTTCTCGTTTTGCCCGCGTGTTCCTTTAACACCAGGCGGGCGGCCGGGGGTGCCCGCAGGGCGGCTCGGGCAAGGAGCGGTGCGGCAGGCGGAGATAGCCCCTCTCCTCTCCCTGCCCCCTCCACGTCCCTCCGTGTGCCCGGCCCGGCATCCCGCGCCCCTCCTCGGCGGCGGGAGCGCCCTCCCCCGGCGGTGCGGGGCGTCTCCGCGGGGCCGTCGGGGGCGGACCGCGGCTGCCCCCCGCCTCCAGCCCCCCGCAGGGCGCCGGCTTTAAATGCGGGGCGGCGCGGCGGCTCCACCGCTCCTGCTGTCCTCGGCACCGTGCTYGGAACACGCAGTCGGCCGCCATGGTCGAGGCTTTCTGCGCCACCTGGAAGTTGGTGGATAGCCACAACTTCGATGAGTACATGAAGGCACTGGGTAGGTACGGCCGGGCGCCGGTCTTTAGGAAACCTTGGAATTTTGCAGCATCTTAAAAAAAAAAATGAAAAGGCTGCCTCCTTCCATTGTCAGAGGCGTAGGTAAGGCATTGGCAGCAGTGATGGTGACGAGGGGGTGGTTGAGGAGGCTGGTTGAAGGTTTCTATCCATAGAGCTAAYTAGATGGGGGTCATTCACCTGGGGGGCCGCTGTGTTTGTGTGGGAGAGGCTCCGGGAAAAGCCCCCGGGCTAAGGGGAGCGTGTGAAAGACGAGCACGTGTTGCTTGCGGATAAGTTAGAAACAAGCAAGCAAAAAAGAAATCATTATGCTGGAGTGATAAGGAATTGAAACTCAGCAGAAGCGATTGCGGCCGCKCCTGTGACCGCGGACGGAGCGCGGGTGCCTCTGTGCTCCGAGACGAGGGAGGGCGCGGAGCTACAGCGGGGCGGGCAGTACCCATGGACACTCAGTGCAAGGGCACAGGAGAACAGAAAGCAGCGTTTCACAGCGRTAGTTTACAGCTGTAGAGCGGGTTTTAAGATCTCTGTACCTMGAAGCATGGGGAAAAAAATAAAAATCCCGAAGTTTGATGGATTTCTCTTTTCCCTTGAATGGTCTAGGAGTGGGGTTTGCAACACGGCAGGTGGGGAATGTGACTAAACCCACTGTGATTATCAGCAGCGAGGGAGACAAAGTAGTGATCAGGACTCAAAGCACTTTCAAAAACACAGAAATCAGCTTTAAACTTGGAGAGGAATTTGAGGAAACTACTCCTGATGACAGAAACTGCAAAGTAAGTGAACTCTGGGGCTTCAGTCTCCTCTTTCTTTTTTCTTCTCTCCCCTGCCCCCCAGGCTCTGCCTTTGGTAAGGGTCAAAGGAAAAAAAATGTAACTTCTGCTGCTACTAGTTAGAGCACTTTAAAGAACAGGAGAAAAAAAAAAAAAAAAAAAACTCTCGAGCCAACAAAAAAAAAAAAATAAAAAAAACAAAAAAAAAAAAAAAAAAAAAAAAAGGCAAGACTGCGTTTTGCTTGCCCTGCCTGCTTGCGCCATGCCTTTTCTGAATGAATCACGTTGCCAGCTCCCTGTCTACCCTGCAGTGTTAACTGATTGTGCTGGTTTCCCACTTTTCGCAAAAGTCACATGTAATTTGGCATAACTTTCCCCAGTCAAAATAGTCAGATGTCTCTTTTCCTGCACCTTTGGGAGCTTAACATCAAATATTATTCCAAGGTACATCTGAAACGGGTTCTTGTGAGACTGGAACTTAAAGAAACAACTTTTTCATCCTTTGACACAARCCAGAATTGTGTGTATTTCATGCTTAATCAAGGATGATTCATAGCCTTGGCTTTAAAATGGCTGGGACTACTTTATCATTCTAGATCCGCATCCATCTGTTGAAGAGAATTCAATAGAACAGTGCATGCTGAATGTGTGAGCAGAATCCCAAGTACTGCAAATAAAGGCATGTCTTTGTGTTTCTTGGTATCTCATAGTCAGTTGTGACCCTGGATGGAGAGAAGCTAGTGCACGTACAGAAATGGGATGGCAAAGAGACAAACTTTGTGAGAGAAATAAAGGATGGCAAAATGGTAATGGTAAGTATAAAGCACACTGAGCATTATCATACACCACAAACACTCCTCATCTACCCTTATCTAAAGCTTTGTGAACAGTGTGACTTAGACACAAACCCTTAAATTAATGGTTTTAGGCAGGCCAGCCTCCGGATTTCCAGAGTGTATATGTTCTCTTTCTAGACTTTTTAAATACCCAAGAAAAAAAGTCCTGGTAAATTTGTAATGATACAAAGTTCTTGATTACATAGGCAATTTACACTTCTTTAAAAACTTCTTGTATGCACACTTAAGTATTATTTAATTACTCAGAAGAAGTAGCTTCCTGTGAAAATAAAATTACAATACCAAAGGAGATAATAGTATTTTCACATTTAATAATAATGGGCTTAGTCCTCCTATCTTGTTAAGATCAATGATAAACAGCAATTGTAGAGAGAAGTCTGGGTTTAAATTCACCTGCTTTTCCTGACTTTTTAGAAACAAGAGTATGGGATGAATAAATGTTGTAAGTTACTATAGCTAATGTCCAGGGTAGCACGTCTCATAGCACAGAGACACAGCTTTCAAAAACAGTCTTCAGYCATGCTAATATATCAGACTTGGTTGTTGGAGAAGACCGGTTATTTTGTTTCCTTATTACTTCAGAGGGTATCTGTGTTGATGAAGACTTGCAAATAACACAGATTTTAAAACATGGTGAAACACAATGTGGCAAGTGTTTCAAGGGAAAACACGTGCTTTGCTTTTTGAAACAGTTACACACAAATCGCAAAAATACAGAAAATCTTGTCCTTTTGAATTTAAGTACAGTGTGGTGCCGTTCTACTTCCGGAAATACCTCCAGAATGCACACTCTAGTTGGTGTTCTGCACAACTGTAGTGACTAGAGCATTTGATAGTTCTAGATACATGGGGTACAGAATGAATTTTTTTCTTGTTTCTTGAACAAGGTTCTCCTGGAGTAYATACCTATGCGTAACAGCATAGAGGCCTTGGAATATTAGACTGCACATTTAGTGGGATAAGCTTTGGGAACATAAGTGTCAAGTCTGTGTTAAAAGGGTGCTAGATTAAAAAATTAAACAGTAAATTAAATCAAAAATTCAAAAGCCACCTTGTAAATGTGTATTATGTGTTTCAGCAAAGAGAAAGTATAATTTCTTGTGGGTACCATAACTAAGATTTGGCTTCTTGTTAATTTAAAATGTCAATAATCTAGATCTATTTGTTTTTCTATAAATTACATAATGTAAACCAACCTTCATCTAGCATGGGCTTCATAATGTGCTAAACCACTACAGAAAATGGTCCAGCCTCTAACATGTGTGTCTTTTCCTTGGACTTGCAGACTCTCACCTTTGGTGATGTGGTTGCTGTTCGCCACTATGAGAAAGCGTAGAGTTTACCTGACCTCTGTTCAGATGTTACTTCTGCTGGATGGATTAATGTCCTGTCCATAACTGATCGTAGCTAAAATGCACATTTCTGGCATGAAAGGTTAATAAAGATTGGGGGGGCGCGTTGGGGGGGGGGGCAAGGTGGGAGTGGGGAGCTGTTTTTTATAAAAAAGAATATGCCATCAAATTGGCATGCTTGTGCTGTATAGTGAAAYAGGTTAAACTTGGCATTAAATTTCTGAAACACTTGCCTCTCAATTTTTTTTACAGTAAATGGAACATATTTGAACTGTTTTGGAATGCAGATCAAACAAATTAAAACATTTTTTAAACCTGTGCTTCTTTTGCATTTAATCAGCTACTATTCCAGTGTCCTGGAGGGAGGTGTTCAAAGTTCCTTTTTTCTGAGTTAAAGGACAGAAAAGCATGTGGTGCAATGATGCAGCAGCCTTTCTATGTGGTGTAGAGTACTTGGGGAAATGAAAAATTGACTTTGGTGGCTTTTTGATGGAGAAATTTAAACTCCCTGTATTTATGTAGACAGRGAAGTGAGATGTTCAAGCCAGTTTCAGCTCCTCTTTTCACTGGGAACTTGTTGCTTAATCTGCTTGGTTCAGATTAAGTTCAATAGATTGATATGATGTTCCAGGGACTATGGAGTCTTGGTTTTAATAGTTTAGAGAATTTTTMATTTGTTTTGATATGTTTGGGGATTTTTTTGCTAATATGTAAATATTGAAGTCTTTCACAGGGTGGGAGGAAAGGGTCAACATGGTAACCCTTTTTCATCAGTCTCCACAGGAATGGGAGGAAAACAGTATGCCATGAACCTACTGGCATTCCTCTCCCTCATCTGTTGTTTCATAGCTAATATATATAAGAAAAATAATTTGCACTGTGAGCAATTTAAAATAAAATGCTGCTTAGAAGAGATAAATTAAAACTTTAAGCCTGAACAGTATTTCCCTAAAAGACCAGAGTGGAAAAAACTGCCTTATACTTTGGAAAATTGGAACAGATTGTTGGCAGCATGGAGAAGATTGTTTGGAGAGTCCATGTTTTCTACACACTGACTCATAGAATCATAGAATTCATAGAAACATGGAGGTGTAGCTACCTACAGTCTTGTAACCAAAGGCAGAGCTGAGCTGTGGATTTAGCTGGTCACTGCTCTAGGAGTGGTGCATGTGGCTGCAGTGGAGGTGCAGGAGTGGCATCCTGCCCAGCTTCCCAGATCTCATCCTTCAGATCTGCTATGTAGTGTGGGAAGAGGCTTCTTGCTTTCCTGGATTGATAGGATAACATGGGTAACTCATCTGATAAAAGTTCACACATAACTGGCACCTATCCAAAAAAAAAAATGAAATTCAATGTTTTTAGCTTTATTTTTTCATAAAAACCTTGAAAGGAATATTCAAGTCTATTTTCTCTTGTGGGGAACACTGCATCTAGAAGATGGAGCCCTTAATTATCAAGCATTATAAATATGTTTYATTTGGTGGATATTGATAGTTTTTAAAATCCAGGACCTAACTTTTTTTTCATCAGAGAAAAGTAGAACTTGTTCCAGTGGTATGGGGAAACCCATTCTCTATGCTTTGGGCTGCTTCACTGGTGCAGTGCAAGTTATGTTAAGCAGCATCTTCTGCWCTTCATTTTTATCAGTTCATTTAATCCTCAGCTTCACTACCCATACAACCTTCATCTGCCTCCCCTCTKCTGCTGCCTGGTGCCTGTGGATGCATATGCCACATGACTGTTCTTCCCARCCCCCTTTTCTCAGAAAGTTGGGAGCAGTTGCTTTTCCCTCTTCACTGGTGTAAACAGACTTGCTTTCCCAATAACGGCATTTGTTTTCACAATAAATTATTTGTAGAGTCATGAATTTTTTTAAAAAAAATCATAGTTTTTTTTTTTTTTTTCCTTAAATATCAGGAAAGGAATATAGAGGCAAATTGTTAAGACTTAGTTTAACAAATAAACCCTGAATTAATATTTTGGATTGCTGTCACTTTTAAACGAACAAACAAAATAGTAGCCTTTTAAACAAATGCTATTTTTTCCCTACATGCTATTCTAGAGATAACCAATATTAGTGTCAAATTAAATAAAGGAGGAAAAGTGGAGAAGTGGTGCCTGTGAAGTAACTGATGTGCTCAGAGGAGTGGAAAAGAGAGGAGTATACTGATACACTGGACTTCCAGCTGCTAACACAGCTTTGCAGAGCTGAAAGGAACAGCACAGTGAGCAATGAGACATTTCAGGGTAACCACAGGATCCATGACATTATTATTGTGATCTTCTCCTAAAACTGGCACCAAGTACTCTTCCTCTTTATGAAATGACTCTGACTTCAGCAATAAACAGCAGCTCTGAAAGCCTTATCAATGGAGACTTGTGTTTGCAATACACCTCATCACTCTCCTTAGGCTGTATTAAAGGTGTATTTGATAGTATATTTCATCAGCTTGGTTTGGTTTTTTTTYYCCCCTTTTTTGGATTTTTTTAAAGCATGATAAGTAACCAGGATCTATTTTCACATGTATGCCATGAGAAACCTTCTTTCCAAGAGATGCTTGAGACTGGTGTGGGGTGAACACAGCCTTTCCTGAGGCCGCCTCACATCAGCCGGTGCCCCGACTCCAGCSCTGCCCGCGGCCAGGCTCGGCTCCTGGAGCTCCTTAGCGCTGCCCGGGGGTGGCACTCCTGAAGGTCAGCCCGGGCACTGCCAGCTCAGGGGACAGCTTGAGCCGCCGTCCGACMGCGGGGCCGCGGCCTGGAGCGGCTTTCGGCCCCGAGCGGTGCGGGCGGGGCGCGGTGGTTTCCGGGGCCCCCCGCAGAACCGGGGTTTGCACAAGCCGCCCGGGGCTCGCCCCTTTCCCGGAGGCCGGGGCGCTCACACGAGCAGAGCCGTCGGCGGGCCGGGCGCTGCCGCACGGCCGACATGGAGCTGCGGGTGGCGCTCGGGCTGGCGCTGCTCTGCTCCGCGCTGGAGGCGGCGCCGGCCGGCCCGCAGCGGCCCCGCTCCGCCGTGGGTGAGTCGGCCGGGGGTCAGCGGCTGAGGGGCCCGGCCGGGGCCGCCCGTGGGGGGCGGGGGGAGCGGGCGAGAGGCGGCCCGGCGGGAGAGGCCCGGTCGGGGGCCGCCGCCAGCCCGGCGGTGGGGCGGGGGGGCTCCGGGCTGCGCGGTGCCAGCTTGCGCCTCTTCCTCCCCCGGCACTGCTGCCCGCACTTAACCTGCTGCCGTAGTATTCCCTGTCCCAACTGCCGCGGGTGACTGCTAGATCAGTGAACACGGCTCTGTTCAGGTGCGGGGGTTACTCGGGGTTTATATTTAGCTGTCCGCCAAGGCCGGCGGGTGAGGTGAGGTGAGCCCTGCCCTRCCCCTGGCGCGCTGTCCCGAGGCACGCACTGCAAACACCGCGTTTGGCAGCAAACACACGGCTCTGCCTGCCGTGCTACCCCCTCTGGTCCTAAGCGCAGGTGAGTGCTCCGAAATGAATTCCCACGGAATTCTCATTCCATGTTACTCACTCTTGCCTCGCACCAAGCACGCAGCAGTGTCCCCGCGTTTCTCTTGGCTCCTGTTTGTAGGCATCACAGTTTACATATTTTGAAGATCGCCTCTTGTTTCACAGAGTGAGCATCTGACCTTGGGAAAAATCGATTTAGATCTGTCCCTATTTCACAACCACTGCCTCAGATACAAGCGTGCCTTGACCAAGTGCTTTGAAATTGACAGAAAGAAATTACTTTTATTTTGCATGAAACTTGAAGGCCGGTAGTCTTAACACAGACTTCATTCATCTTACTCAGCATATTCCTATACTTCTCAGCTGCTTTATSCATACAGCACTAAGAGTGGCTGAGAGCCTGTCAGCCTAGAAAGTAGTGAGTTGGTAAGGCTGACACACTGCTTGCTCTATGGTGAGAAGCTCAGTTTCTTTGCACATGTGCTATTTCTTGTCTTTCTTTCCTTTTATAGTAGCTTCCAGCCAGGGAAGGTCTGGAAAAGTAATTAAAATGTAACTCCCTCTCTTTTCAAGTGGAGTGGAGAAGTCCTTCTATTGCCTCCTCTTCTTTCCAGTTTCCAGATTGCTATTAATGAAAAGGAGCTGATTTTTCAGTTCCTTCCAATCTCCATTTCATTTCTGTTGAATAGCATAGACCCACGCCTCTGCTTCAATTTTCAGTTTTTCTAAGCAGTATAAGTGAAGGACTCATCAAGAAGAACTCGTTCACGCTTATCAGACAGGCTAATCAACAATTTGTTAAAATTTWTTCTCCTTTTCAAAACTTTAAAGAGGAGTAGCAGTAGATAAACTGGAATAAGCTTGGCATTACCCCTGTATATCCAGTTCAAATGMAAATAATGTATTTTCTTTAATCTTTGTTTTCTGAAAACAGGAMAGTTCTGGCATGTATCTGACCTACATTTAGATCCGACATACCACATAACCCCTGATCACACCAAAGTTTGTTCTTCATCCAAAGGAGTCAATGCCTCCAACCCAGGCYCTTTTGGAGACTTTTTGTGTGATTCTCCTTATCAGCTTATTTCATCAGCATTTGCATTCATGAAAGATTCAAAAGAGCAGGTTTCATTCATGATTTGGACAGGGTAAGTGTTCAAGTCACTCTGCAGTTAAAGCTGGATAGCCAGATAGTGTAGTAATTCTAGTTAGTATTTGCACCAACAAATGACTTAAGTTCAGTATCTCACAAGTGCTAGTTGTCCCTTTAGTTGTCCAAGTGGCTACTAAGTGGAAGACTGAGTGAGAATATAAGACCTCAAGAACAGACTTTGACCTCTGTTACAACTCTTGGACTGTTCATCGTGATATTTAGCATATGGCTGTGTTACTCTAAGTTAATAGAAATGGTGCAGGGAGGGTGGGAAGTGGAAAAAGCAAAAAGAAAGGTCAGGGCAATAGCTGACTCATTGTAGGCCTCTGTTGAGTAAAAACATTTACCTTTCCTGTTCCAGTCTTCAGTATTAGAAAGTGGGCTTAATAATACTCTCTTGCAGAGATGTTATCTGTGAAGCTTTGTGTGCCTGAGCAGTGGGACTAGGCAAAGAACTGTAAAAGGCCAGCTGTAAATGAGCAGCTTGACAGTACTAAGCTATCAAGGCATAGTATTTCGCCTTGTTACTTTCTAGTTATTCATAAAAGATAGCATTGACTTACCCTTCTGCCATAGCAGAACTCTCAATTATACCATCTCACAATTTTTTTTATGGCATACATCRATGGATAATTTTTCAAAGAAATTAGTATTTTTGAGTGTGAGAACTATGTTATACCACTTATTTTTGCTGGGAAAGGGTGTTAAGAAATAC